CCCCAAAACCCCAAAACCCCAAAACCCCAAATCTGCCATCTCAAATTGAAATAATACAAATGTTGACTATAGAGCGATTTGGAATGGCAAACAGGCTCAGAAGTATTTTAAAAGAAGTAATCGCTAATTATATGAGATGTGGAAAGGCCAGGACCAGACTGGCTGAGAAGGAATTATTAAGACCTTTGAAATGTTCGCTCAAGGAGGTAAGCTGGTGTTCCTTAGGGATGAAGTCTCACCTTTTGGCGATGAGTGATTCGCTTTATGAAAGTAAGAGAATAGTGTCTTAAGTAATAATCTCATGTCTGGGACACATTAGTTAGATTTGCTTGGGATCTCCAGCTGGGTCATTTCTTTAGATCTCAAAGGAGGTTTCAAGCTTTGATAATTTTTGAAATAATTAATGAACCTAACTCAGAAATGAACTAGGTCCAGCATGTTCACACCTTCCCAAATATTTTAATCCATCAGTTCCAAATCTTCCCTACAAAATAAGTACAGGGGATTAAACCGCACTTCCTGGTCGTTAAGGAGGAGTAATGGGGGTTTAGGATCAGGAGGTTGGCTTAAGGGGTGAGGGAGGAATTTTGGAGGGGGAGAGGGGTAAATGGAGTAGAGGGATTTTGGAGGGACTGGGGGATGTGGGGTGGGGATAGGGGGTTTTAGGGGGGTAGAGGGGAGTAGAGGGGAGTAGAGGGGAGTATAGGGGGGAAATAGCTTTGTAGTGGGAGTTTGTGGTGTTTGGACTGGATTTGAGTAGGTTTATGGATTTTATACGTTTTTTGTGGTGAGAAAGAAAAATGAGATAATACTGTAGGGTTTTAAAATAAGAAAGACTTCTCAGGCAAGAGGAAGTAAACCATTAAGATCAAGCATCCTGAGCTTGCATGCAAGCAGGAATTGACTCTGAAAGATCATTTTTATGGTCTGTTATATAACCAGCTTCATCAGAAGTTCTGAAGCTACATCAAGTAATTTTCTTCCAGAATTTAAACAATTTATCTAAACCCAGAAGCTTGGTAATTGATCTGTGCTAGCACATAACTATTTATCAGAGTAAAAGGGCTATTTAATGTAGTCCTAAACTCTAAAAACTCATCTCAAATAGTCCTGTTTTGCTATACAAGAAAAAGTATAAAAACTATGCACAGTAAACCTCTTTCCCTTGTTTGAATTTTAATAAAAATAGTTGACCAGCTGAGTTTACGAAAGATTATCATATACTTATAGGGTTGGTATTTCCTACTGAGCCAAGATATGATTGAGGAGTCCAGATCTACTACCTTAATAAGAATATTCATAACGCTGAGCTTAAATTTCCCCCTAGTGACACTACAAAAGAGTGTTGGTACTCTGTTTCATATAACACTGAAATCTTTGACGGAATCATTTTTACTATAAGTAAGTAATGTCGTACAAATTATAGACCCAGCTATTGGAAGCTCCATCGAGTTGTACCTAAAGACGGGAAGCAAGGCCTACACTCTACTGAGTGGGGGCCTCCATTCAGAGACCTTGAGATACAGTACTAAAGATATAAGAGAGAAAAAGAATGTTAAAGAAGACATCCCGATTAGTTTCTTGGTGGTCCCAAAGATTTTGCAGCATGGAAAAGGGTCAGTTCAATTAAGGGCTATTGAGAAGTATAACATGGTTCATCCTTTAGAGCCAAACCAACTAAGATGCATTATATTTGGATTGGAGTCGCTGTTATGTTTGCTTGATGATGATTTGGAGCTATTGCATACCTTATAAAATACATTAGTAAAAACTCCGAAGGAATGTGGTCTTACAGTAACAGTGATAGCAATAGTAAAATCAAAGTGCATCCAGAAGTAGCCTGTATAAGGAACTCTATTCAACGCCAGGACTTAGAAGTAGGCTACCAAAATGTATCCTTTGAGCAAATTGCTCGTTACAATAATTACTTGGTCTACAAAGGTGAGTTTACAGTAACCCTTAGATGATAACATGAGCCCTCATAATGACAGGAGTTCTCACAAAGCAGCAAGAGGTACTTTTAATCTAACTTTTAGGCTCTCATGACAAAGTCCACATAGGCACCATTATCCCAATAACCAAATTCAAGAAGTCCAGGAGAGAACTCAAAGATCTTCAGATGCTCAACAACATCGGACTCATAGACCTTGGCCAATTCCCATCGAAAGTGATTCCAAGGAAGCATCATCAATAACCCATTGATATTTCCATAATCTCTGTTTTCAGCAGATATTTAGAGTGTTGGGGTTTTGGGGTTTTGGGGTTTTGGGGTTTTGGGG